GAACAATAATGTCTTCTACTCACTCTGCTCCACACTACCACAAAGTCTGCTGCTACAAAGTCTCCACCCATCCAGTTTTGCCCGGGAGGACTGGCGACAGTTGTTAGAAACTTGAAATCACCTGCATCATACATCTGCCATGAAAGGCAAAGTTTAAATGTATAGTTTAACAGTTTGTGGAGTTTTGGTCTCAACTACTTACATGGATGTGCACACGTTCTCTCCTTCATAATTTGATTGTAAAATTATAAAATCTTGAGTAAGCAAGATTTTGAGTCAAACAATAACGTTTAAGATGCTTTTGCATAAAAGGGATGGTTGTGTGGCTATGTTTTATTATGTCACCCATTTTCGCAGGCATGATCTAGTATTGCAAAAAGCTATGCTCTAAGCATATTTTAAAAGACTTCATTTGGTAATTTAGCAAGAAAAGAAGACTTATATTTCAGTTACCTTTGCACGAAGGCAATTGGACAATGAACAAACTTCAAGCACACAACATTATGAAACCACTAATAAACACATCCCTAACAGTAACTGGTCAGACAAGCTTTTCTACAACTACCCCTTTACTGGTTACTAGACTAAGACTAAGACTAGGGTAATGTCCACAAACAACATGAATGATGGGTATAAAATTGTTTATGATTCACTTTAAAAGGCAATTTTGTTTATTTAAATTGCAAGTTAAATAAAAATCTTTCAAAAAAAAGTAACCATAAGGTACACAATCGTGTATAAACTCACCAACCACTCTTTTGCACAGACCACAAGAATGGTGCGCTGAGTGAAAGGATTACAACAGATCCCTGTAGCTTTGCTGTTGGTGATTTGGCTCAGTTCTTGTTCAAATGTGGGTTCACTGAACTGTTGACAAAAAAATGGGGTACAAAAAAAAAAAAAACATCAAATGAGAAGAAATGATAATAAAATACAAGTTAAAAGTTAGCTTAACTATCAAACCTTAATAATCAAGTTATCGAAAATTAATGAGTGTAACGCAAAACTTCACATCCATCAAAGAAACCTGCATATCATAACATCATAATTTGGATATATAAACAAAGTTGAAGTAGTAAATTAGCCACCGTAACGATTACAAAAGCTGACGTTTCGAGCGTTAGCCCTTCGTCAGAGCGACGAAGGGCTCCGACGAAGGGCTAACGCTCTAAACATCAGCTTTTGTAATCATTACGGTGGCCAATTTACCACTTCAACTTTGTTGATATATCCAAATTATTTCGTTACTCCCACCGATGCAACCCCAAACAGTTTCCTTCGAAACTATCAGGCTTTATATCATAACATAGACAGGGGATCAATAGGTGAACTAAACAACAGAACTCAATAATACAACAATTTAATCTAACAATAAGTTGGCCATTGCAAAGAATTCAGAACAGAACACGTGTGCGCACATCAGGGATATATCAGTTCTCATTGTAGTGCGCAAGCCAGTAGAGGCTATTAATAACATTTTAGTGATATTGTTACATATATTAGTGGATGTATGTAGCTCATTGATAAGTGGGCTTCTCTGCAATAACTTCTCTTAGTTTTGTAGTTTGTTCAAAGCAGCTAAGAACTCTGGGCAAGGAAAGATGTTTGCTGCTACAAATAAATGTTTAACATCAGACTTGTACAACCTGTACGTAAAGAGACAATTGTATACCACACCTTGGACTCAACATTTGGTTTCAACATCCAAATGTTGAGCATACCAGACAAAGAGACTGCAACAACAACGTCATCTGGGGTAGAACAGAAACGTGCAGTCATAGGTCAGTATTTGTATCAAATGTAATCCAAGATTATGTTTGCCAATTAAAGCATTTGCTAGTAAAGACTACTGAAAAGGGAACTTAGAGTAGAAGTGTAGAAAGCAAATATTGGGACAAAGGCTAGACATCTGGCAGCAGATGTAAAAAAGATCAATGGTGTTCCCTGGTCAAGACCATATGTTCATGGATGCTCAAAAAGGGGTAACTAGCTAACTAACTTTTTATACTCTGAAGTAACTATTATAAAAATAACATTTTATTATTAGTAGTTTCTATACCTGGTCTTCTTGCAGGTCTCACAACACATGCAGCACTGATCCAATTGGGGGCTGATGGAGAACGTAGGGTGTACAAAATCTAAACAAACAGCAGCCAGATTATTGAGTACACTGTCAGTGATAAACAGTAAACAATCATTGTTCTTCTCACAATTTAGAGTAACTATCAATTGAAGAGTCAAGTCATCAATCTGAAGTTTGTAACATTTTCATAGTTGTATTGCTAGTCTTCATCATACTAGCCAAAAAACTGCAGTCTTCAATTGATAGCTTGATTCAAAAACTTAATGTGGCTTGAATCAAGAGATGAATTTTGGACTAAAGGCTACATTTATCATCATAACCACTGTGAACAAACACATCTTTGACTGTCAACAACATAAAACTAAAATGAACTCATTACATTAGCTTGAAATTATTACCTCAAGAGACAGAGCATCAAGAACATAAATATCAGAATAGCTGCCATAACAAACAACACGCCATTCTTTTCCTGTGCCAATGCTAACGTGGAAAGACTGAAAAGAATTATCAAATGCATACACATTACAGTATACAGCAGTCAATTTGTTCATTATGTTTAGTTTGGTGAGTAAGCCACTCCATCAATCAGTCAACCAGTCAGTCAGTCTGTCTGTCAGTCAGTCAATTTGTGAGCTAACAAGTCAATCAGTCAGCCAGTCAGTCTGTCTGTCAGTCAGTCAATTTGTGAGCTAACAGGTCAATCAGTCAGCTAGTCTATCAGTCAGTCAATTAGCCAGCTAGCTGATCAGTCAGCCAATCAGTTATTATGTTGACAGGTAAACTTGTCATTCACGACATCAGTCAGTCATTTCTCAGTCGACCTACTTACCAATAGAGCCAAATGTGTCCCTGGGATGACATTTGTTTGAATGCAGATTCCATCATCTGTGTCCCACAAGCATAGCTCTCTGAGAAAAAAAAGTCACTTGATAAATGGCTCAAATAAGCTGTAAATACACTAAAGAAGGTCTCACTTGTAAACAGAAAGCCAGATTACTTGTTCACAAAGACACCCCTAAATAAATACTTTCAACCATAAGCAGTTCTTATGGAGAAAGTCCAATGTAAATACCACTGCTCCTGCATATTTTAAATGAGCAGAAAAACTTCACCATAGAGAACAACAATATATAGGCCTTTCTTGTAACCTGCCTCTGTAATAAAACGTGCAAGATAAGAAGTGCTTTACCAGAGCTAGAAAAGTCAGGGCTCAACACTAACTTTTCAACTTACTAGCGAAGTGGCTTGTGATATCTTAGATATTACAACAATTTCAGTTTGTTTACTAGCCGAAATGGCTTGTGGAAATTGAAAACCACTAGCCAAAACTGAATTCTACTAGTTTGTGGCTAGTTGGCTACCATTGGTGTTGAGCCCTGGAAGTCATGGCTCCTTTGTCTGAGTGACAGTACTGATTGAGAAATAAGATTTCCATGTGAATAATGCTACAGATACATGTATTGTACTAAGAATCAATGGCACAGCCATAATAGATATAAACTTCCTTGCTGTGTTTTACCCATTGTCAGCTGCACTTATAACACTGGAGTGATTGTCCCATCCATCTGTAGCTTTTGCCAGTGCTGTGACTTTTGCTGAATGAGCAAATATAAGGTTCCTGGGTATGACCTATAGTATTCAGGAAAACATACAATGTATTCATAATGTATTCATAAGTGAAGTTATGGAAAAATAACAACAGAATTTAGGTTTATTTTTGAGAACTGTAAAATCACTGATTTATTTTACCACAATTTGCAGTGAGTGTTGCAATCTGATCGGCCAATTTGCCTTTGTTGATAAGATTACAGACAACCCTGCTTATGTCAATATCACACGATGTGTCATCCAACAAGTCACACTGAAAGAATTGTCTGTGTTAAAAAAATTAGATAGTCAGGTGGTTTAGCATGGTCTGTACTCTTATCAACAATAATATTCCTCATCACAGTGGTAGAAATTTGTAGCAGACTTGCTTGGCTGTGCCTCATAGGTCCACAATATTTTAACCCCTATGAAGAAGAATATTGTTGCTGACAAGTGTACAGACCATGCTAAACCACTTTCAATTAATTTTGTTACATTTTACTGGTGGATTAAGTTGATCTCCATTATTGGTAATCATGTTTTAAGACCATTGTTCCCACATTTTCTTTCTGGTATAGTATAGGGACTATATGGAAGGCCCATGGCAATGTTTCAGATCCACAGGCATAAGTGTCATGCATAATGTATGAGTGATTAGAAAGACATTGCTAAATTATTAAATTATTATTACAAGACATTATTAAATTGTTATGTAAAAAATTCCTGGTGTGGTTCAGATCAAGAGCTCAAAGCCTGCTTTAAATTAAAATCTTAGGCTATGCGCACCTTTAATTTAGTTAGACATTTCGTTTAAATGAAGAAACAAGGGAAAAAATTAAAAAAACAAAACAAAAAAAAATCTAAACCTCGGCAATTTGTTATAATTATTTTAGCTAATTTGGCATGATAAAGCATGTATGTGGCTAGTGTGACAAGACTACAATCTAGAAAACTGATGGAATCCAGATTAAAACTGCTTTTTGAGAGCAACTAATAAAACCTACAAATAATAGATTTAATAACCGTGAAACTTGTCCCCACATGATCATTGTCAGCCTTAAAATTCCCATTAGCAGTCTTACTTTGATCTCTCCATGTTCTCTGAATCGTAAGTCCCAGATCCCCAGCTGTCCATCTGTTGATCCAGTGACGACCGTTTTTTGATCATAAGTAGTTATAATACACGAGATACAATGTGATGGAGGTGTACTTCCCCATAAAACCACTGGTACGACAGAGGAGGAAGACATCTTTGAGATCTTGTCAACATTCCGCGCGCCCACTATGAGTTTGCTCAGCAGTAATCTCGAACACCTAAAACACTCAGACTCAGTCCTTCTTTGACAACGAAGTTTCTTCTCAGTCAAACAAAATGGCGCCATCGGACAATGTAATAGTTATAGAAAATGACGGCCATTTTCAGTCGGAAATGGTAAAAGCTGGCGCCAAACTGGTAGTTGTGGACTTTACAGCATCCTGGTGAGTACAAAACTACCTATCTGTGAATCGTTTCCAAAAAGAAGGCTTGAATTCTTGCGGATGTTTTTGCGTGCATGGCTGGGATTCAAAAGAAATTGAAGTCTCATCGATTGGCAAAATAAGTTTGCCACCCACCAGCTCGTTTGGAATGTCATTACGTGTTATGAGTGAATGAAAACAAGGAATTGAAATTGTTCTCGTTACAACCAATTTCTTCGTCATATTTATTCGGCAAGGCTATACCTACACGTAGTCTTAAACTCAACAAGTCCGATGACTCAGCAGTAATGCCCAAGAAAAAGTTCTTAAAAGTAGTCAAGTCTTTCACAAGCTTCGTATTTTTCTAAAGATGTTTTTTTTTTCAAACTGACACAGTTATTGCAGATAACTTTTGAAAACTTTCAAGGAAAACTTTTTTTGTGGGTTTAAATCAGACATCTGATTTTTAAGTTGATTCGTTAAGTTGATTCGTAATAAACCCGTGAAAGGGATAAATCAGATATCTGATTTATCCCTTTCACGGGTTTAAATCAGACATCTGATTTAAACCTTTCACGGGTTTATTAGGAATCAACTTAACGGCCTGCTCCCAGTTGGCTTGTTAGCTCAATTGGTAAAGCGCTGCACTAGTATCGCAGAGGTCAGTGGTTCGAGTCCTGTACAGGCCTGATTTTTTTCAAGTCTGATTTTCACTATTGCTTAAATAGCGCTATCTACTGCGAGGATCGTGCATCATATGTATCTAATACCACAGTTCAAAATATATCAACTTCATATATTTCATTGTATCTGAAGTACATGATTGTTATGCAGTTAGTGTCTTAGCTCATTACAAATGACCGCTTTGTGTTTGTTGATTAATTATCTGTGGTTGTTTGAATTGGTAGTATTTTTTTTGACAAAAAGTGTGCAAAACCTTTTAAAATACATTTAATTCCATACGTATTTAGATGGAAATGTGCCTAAAATAACTTACATTACTGAGACCTGCAGGGACATTGACCACCGGCCTCTAGTTATCAGGCTCACACAGAGGGGCCTACGGCATTAAATTTTTGGAATTGGTAAAAAATGAATAAGTCTCTCTAAATAAGAAGAACACTGCACAATAGACATACTGTAGTTATAACATTAGTGCAAACTATAGTGCGGTGTAGTATTGCTAAATTATAGCAAAATGAATAATTATAATTCTCTACAGTAGCAGTGCTCGAAATTAAAAAAAAATCCAGGTTGTCCCTATTTCAAAAGCAGGGCAACCAAAGCCATGAATTTGGTTGCCCTGATAAATCCTTGGTTGCCCGGTAGAAAAACCCACACATTTAAGTTCACTACATAAAAAACATCCATTTTTATGCGGTATAGAGCTTCAGATGTAATCACATGATGGTCAAGCTTGAACTAATCCCATAGTTCTTAGTATGTGGCAATGGTTTTTGTGGAAGTCTGGGTTTAAGTTGTGGCATATTCAAAATGGCGTCTTGATCTTGATTGCCTCCAGACAAGAAACTTTGTGTTTGTCTCTTACATTTTTGTACCTGGCAATGCGTCATAAAATTTATAGATATCCAAAACACAGGAAAATGCTTTGCTGAGGCAAATTATTTTTAACTTCACACTAGCGGACATTGACAAAACAAAACCGTCACATAGGTCAGGTGCTGTTTATGGTTAATTTATTTTCTATTTTTGGCTGGGTTGTCCGTTGTTTTTTCCCCGGACAACCAGCCTCTTAATTTTTACTAAAAATTGGCTGCCTGGTAAACTTTTTGGTCGTCTCGGACGACCAGACGACTGCTAATTTCGAGCACTGCAGTAGGTCTGATTAATCACAATTTTAGGTGCAGATTGCTTCTACAGGTTGTGTAGTCTTTAAAAGCCAAATCCTTGATTTCTTGTCTCTTAATTAAAAAATCCACCCACTACAATCTGGATGCTTGCTTATTATTTGGTTCCCTTTGATTTGAAGTGCATATCCCTAAGAATTGTAGTAATATTTACCCTAAAGTTATTTGTTTTCCCTGTTTCAGGTGTGGCCCATGTAAATCAATTGCTCCAACTTTTGCAAATTATAGTACAAATTATGCAGCGGCAGTTTTTTTGAAAGTAGATGTGGACAAATGTGATGTAAGTAGACTTTTATTTCATTAATACAAAAATAAAAAAAAAAATGTAGAAATAAGAATAAATTAAAGCAAAGTTGTTCTATTTAGAATTATGTCAGGGTGCTGGAAGGCTCTTATCTAAATTGATGTTGTTGTATTTGAATGCTACAGATCACGGCATGTTTTTATGACAATTTTGTGCATAGGTCAGAGAAAGTCTCAGTTCCCATTGAGGATTTAATGGCAACCACAACTTTCTGTTTTATTAAGTGTTGTAAAGTCCAATCCTCTCTTGAAACAGTCTATCACAATGTATACACAGATTACCAGAGGTGGGTCAGGCTGAGAGCCGGCACTTGCTATTCTTTGCTATTCTTTGCCATTGCTGGTGTTTACTTTTTTGCTCCTCCACACGCCTTATTTCCCAAGCTGCCACACCAGAATGAACCAGAGTATGTATGTAGCTCAGTAGTAGAATACAATGTACAAAATTACAAAATCCAAACATCTAAGAGTGTCAGATTTATTCTTTGTCCCTCGCTCATGGAATTATATTGTTTTTGTTTTTTTGTTTTTGATAGAGATTCAATTTTACCACCTTTAACTTTCTTTTTATTGTATTTTTTGTAGGACATAGCAGCCAGGTACAAGGTGACTTCCATGCCCACCTTCCTGTTTTTTAAGGGAAAGGTAAAGGTGGATGAAATGTCAGGAGCCGATCCAAAGAAGCTGGAGGAAAAAATAATCAAATGGATTGGAGATACTGATAGTGACACTGGAGTTAAGGGACATGTAAGTTATGGAATTATTGAGAAAAATGATGGTAGATAGTTGACATTTGAAGGAAATTGCAGACTTAAAATATAGAACTATTGTGCACAAACAAGATGCAGAGTCAGAAGAAGTCCAATTTTTTGAAGTGAAAGGTGTAGATGATTGCACAAAATCAAATCCATCAGGAATGTCTCCTACAACGTTCACAGTTTTGAACTAATTATAATCATTTTACTTTGTACGTCATGTTTGAGTACAGCTATGAATTAAGGGTACCAAGGGTAATTACCAGAAAAGTGGAGGCTATTGTGATAATGTTGATTGCCATGATTATGCATGTAGCTCAAAATAACCCCTTGTAAATTGCATGATTGTTTGCTTCAAGTGCATTGTATTTGTTGTAGTTCAATTTTATCCTTGGTGCAAATTTTATTTTCCTTTTTTCTCAAACTCATTATCATACATTAACATGACTGAGAACAAAGGAAATTAAAATTTGAACCAAATATAAAATTGAACTACAACATATACATAAGAAGAAAAGAAGCAATAGGGCCAATTATATTATTTGATAAGAAATATCTTAATTTATATGGATCATGAGTCATGACAAGTCTTATAAAACGTGCCTTTTAGTGGATATATCTGAAGTACTCATTATATTGTCAATTTTAATATTGCAGATGGATTTAGGAATATTTATTAACAAGAGTGGATGTGAGAGTTTAAATGAAAGTGATGACCACCATTTGGCAGCTGCTTTGGCAAAGGGACCTGACTTTTTGGAAAGTGACTGTGATGAACAGGTACATGCGCTGCAAAGAAATCTTATCTACAGGGAACTTGATTGTAGTCTTCATTGGAGAACCTAATCTACTTTTGTGAATAGCTGAACTTAAATGGGCCACTTTGGAGCCTCTGTTTTAAAATGAGGTCAAGTGTAAAGCCTTTATATGAAAATGAATGAATATTGTAAGGCAAACAAAACTCACATTCACAAGAAAAGCTTTGAATTTGGACTCATGTTGAAAGTGAGGATGGGTGTTTGGAAATTGTGAATTGCTTATTGATGTGGAGGTGCTGGTGATCGTTAAATGAGTTGTAACAGGTTATGCATGTACTCTTGGTATCCAAAAAGCAAAGCAAAGCATCACTAATTTTATGACTAAAGTACTGGACTCCTCTTCTTAGATGGGGTGCATGAGTAATACCTGCTATTCATTCAGCAGCTTATTTAATTCTTTCCAGCCTGACATCAGTGTGCACATTCTCCATACTGCTCTCTATGTACATTTTATAACATGCCAACAAGGAGAATTTGTTTAACTATCAAGAGTTTCTTCAGTAGGTGATCATTTTCTTTATTCTCGTGACCTTATTGTGTGATTCAGGGGTGATAGTGTAAGGAGAAATTAGATGCTGCTCACTCTTGAGGGTTAAAGAGTTAAACTCCTTACTGGAGAAGAGGACCGAGAGAGTAACATTTCCTACCCAAGGACAAAATTAAAACAATGTGTTAAACCGAACCAGGTTGTTTGATACCCAGGCTGTTATATCTACAGTATGCCTTGCAGACAAGAGCTTGCAGCACATACCACGTACTACATTTTCTGAAAACACTCTTAACTAAAATAAAATTGTTTAGTTGAACATCAAACCACAGTGTTATGATTATCCTAATGATCAGTAATAGAGTTTTTTTTTTACAATTTATATTTAGTTACTTGTAACAATAGCCTTCAACCAAGCTGTGAAGGTACACTCACTCAAGATACAAGGACCAGGAGATGGTAAGTACTGACAAGAAGCTTGGTCATTTTACAGGTAGACTGGGTCAACAGCCTTAATTCCAGTTCTTGACTTGGTACATTCCCTAGGTATTACATCAGTCCTCATTTTATTATGTACCAGTCGACTTGGTACATTCCTCATGTATTGTTAGTAATGTTTCTGATTTATTTTCTCACTTACTCAGGTAGAGGACCAAAGACAATCAAATTGTTCATTAACCTCACAAAAAGCATGGATTTTGACTCAGCAGAGAGCTTTGAAGCAGTGCAAACTCTTGAGTATGCTACCTTATTCTGGATTCTTTTCCAAAAAGATGTAGAAGCAAATTAAGTGTAAACTTGACAAAATTTCAATTTTTTCAAAATAGGTGTAAGGATATGCTCTCAGCAGTAACTGTGCTAGTTAGTCCATACTAACTACTCCATGTTTTATACAATATAGGTTAACAGAAGAAGATTTAGCAGAAGAGGCGATCACTCCACTGAAGTTTGTCAAGTTTCAAAATGTCCGAAGCATGACGGTTAGTGCACGTGGAATAGATTGTTCGTTGTACCCTTTCACGCTGGTCAATGGAAATAGAGTATATCTGAGGATGTGAATTATTAATATGAGCAAAGTTATTTGCAGCCTTTCTTTTGCTCTCACCAGTAGTTTGTTTTTATTCTGAACGTCAGTACACTCCATATTTTCATACATGTATATTGAGCTATTTGGGAGAGTGATCTGTAACAGTCCTGCAGAAGCAAAGTCCATTGCCTGGTTTTTCCGGGAGGGCAAACAATGATAGGAGTGCATTCTGCAGCCATTTGTCCTGACAATGATAGGAGTGCATTCTGCAGCCATTTGTCCTGACAACTTGTCCTGCTTATCTCCACTGACTGAAACTCCGGTGATTAAGAGGCAGTGCTGCCTCAATTTATTCACCTAGTAAAACATTTTGTTGTTATTTACAGTATTTATTCATTACAAATGTACATATTATCTTTTCTGTAGTTATTTTTCCAAAGCAACCAAGGCAATGAAGAAACAACAGTTGTGGAGTATATTGGATTTATTGGAAGCCCTCTAGACTCAACAAATATGGAAGAATTTAAAAGGGTAAAAAAGATTATTTGTTTACACATACTTGTTTAAACAAACTATCAATATTTTTTATTTTACCTTTCTTATTAAGGAAGTTGCTTGTTTTACTGTTACTTGTTTGTCACATACTCGCATTAATATTTGTTTTAACAATTATATTAATTTTCCATAGTCCAAATTAATTATTTTAATTATTTATTCTGTTTTAGGTGGCTGGGAAAAAAGGTGACAGACACTAACTTTACCTCAGAGCCTTTTTTATTGGAATGTTTCAGCAAATGCCCATCTGGATGTGCTTATCTGTGCAATAGTCAAGTAGAATGCCGTGTGAAATTGTCTCTTACGCCATCGCTAAACTTAAGTCACATGATATCTAAAGCCTCACTGGAAACTTATACAAATTCACTGATTACTGGTGCATATGGTTAATGGAAAATTACTTGTAAAGAAACTCTTTGCTATTAAAATATTAGGTATTGTTATAGAAACTGTCTTGCTATGTGTTTTTTTTGCTTAACGTTGGGTCGCTGGCTATTTCGTTGCGAATCTGTTGAAGCTTTATCGGTGACGCTGGGAGGTTCTTTGTGATCTGGTGGATGTCCAGCTGTGGGAATTCTTCGTTGGGTGGGGCTGGCTGTGGTGACACCCTTGAGAGGGCATCGGCAATGGGTACTTCAGCTCCTTTGACATATAATATGGTAACGTCATACTTTAGTGCTCGTAGTGCAAACCTTTGTAATCTTGCAGGGCACTTGCTGAGTTTCTTCTTGAAGATTGCTTCAAGTGGCTTGTGGTCTGTGTGGATTGTGCAGGATTTGCCGTAGATGAAGTAATGGAACCTTTTGAGTCCCGAAACAACGCTGAGTGCTTCGCGTTCAATGTTGGCGTATTGCTGTTCAGTCTCGGTGAGGGCTTTAGAAGCCTATGATGCAGGCTTTCCGTCTTGTAAGAGCACAGCGCCTAATCCTTTCAGCGAAGCGTCAGTTTCGATGACGGTTTCTGCGTTTGGGTCGAAGTATCTAAGTATGCCGAGTGATGAGACCTCTCTTAACTCGGGTGAAGGCTTGGTCGAGCCCAGGTCCCCTGGAGTAGACCTTGTCTTTCTTGGCCAGGTCTCTCAGTGGTGCTGATAGGGTGGCTAGGCGTCCAGAGTATCTTGTCAGATAATATTGGTTAGACCGAGGAAGCTCTGTAAGCTTTTGACGTCCACGGGGGGGCTTCATGTACTACAACAACAACAATTTATTTGAGGTTAGAAATATAGCTAAGTACATTGGTTTCTCCCCGTAAATAGCTTATGAACTAATCGGCTGGGAGATGTAAGGACAGTTTTCAAGTACAGGATTTATCTATAAATGGACTAACAATGAAAACACTACTATGCAGTAAATAGAATAAGCATAAAACACAGCAAGTATATTAAGATTACGAAACGAGGCTAACCTAAAGTATTAAATAACTTAATAAGACGGAAGACTTCGACATAATCATCTTTTGACCGTAAAAAATTTAGTAGTAACTCCTTTATCTTTTTTACGAGAAGACGAACGTTTGTGTGGTTTAATCGAATAGGGGATAGAGTTCCAAATTTGGGCACCAATTCTCGAGAAAGAAGCATACATTTTATCTTTTCTAGAGAATTGACAAAATACGAGTCACTAGAGACTGATCTTGTTCTGTAGTTTTGAATCTGAATTGTTTCAGTTAACAAACTGATTGAGTATACTAACTGGTGCTGTCAGTCTGTTGATATGATACAATGAATAGCTACAATCTGAAAAATAGGCTAGGTTGGGGATGACAATTCGATTTGAGAAAGAAGGGTACGGTGTGCAAGCCCGTTTTTGAAGAATTGCGATCTTTTTTTTGAAATGTCACGGCACAATTTCCCCAAGCACAAATGCCATAAGTTAAATAAGGGACAACTAGTGAATTGTAAACTGAAAGTAAGACACAACGCGGGACATAATGTCGAATCTTGGCAATAATTCCTTTTGACTTGCTAATTTTGTGGCAGATAGATTCTGTATGATATTCCCACGAAAGATTTGAATCAATCATTAAGCCGAGATAATTTACCAAGTCTTTCATTTCAAGGTTTGCATAGGTATAAGTCACGGAGTCAAAAATTCTAATCCTAGGTATAAAATCCGGCATATTTTTTTTGTCGGGGACGAAAAATTACAAAGTTTGATTTTTTTATGTTCAGAAATAGTCTACTGGCCTTAAGCCAATCGTTGATGTTACCAAGTTGGCGATTAATAAGAGATTCGAGTTCCTTTAAGTTGCGATTTGCAGATATTATACTAGTATCGTCAGCAAATAGATAAAGGTTAACTAACGAAGAGGACTTGTGAATATGATTGATGTACAGAAGGATCAAGAGAGGTCCGAGGACTCAGCCTTGTGGTATGCCGCACAATGTCGTCTCAGCGTCGGACACAACTTAAGTTCTAATGACTTTTGTAATCATTACGGTGGC